CCCCAAAACCCCAAAACCCCAAAACCCCAAAACCCCGCCATTTATGCTAAAATTGAGAGATCAGAAAATAAAATGGATGCACCTTTCTTAATTGTCTGTTTTTATAACTATCTATGATGATACACAATCTCAATGCGACACTTATTTCTTGCTAATTTTCAAACTGGTTTTTACAACTTTGGTATCTTGGAGCTTGAATACTCTATAGGGAACTTTTTGGAAATAAATCTGGGTATGTTAGTAGAAATTTTTATCCCGGTCTTTTCATCAAAGTCTGATTGTTCTTGTATGAGCTCTTTTTCATCAATCTTTTCTAACTCTTTAAAGTTCTTCATGAGACTCTTATTTTCTTCAAAGTCTGCCTCTGTGTTATTTTCAGGGTTCTCTTCTTGGTTTGCATTAAGGTCAACTTGGAGTCCAATATTGCTACATCTGTTCTGCTCTTCCAAGTTTGTTTTCTTGATTTTAACATAGTCCATGATTTCTTGGATTTGGATCGCTAATCTGTTGACAATGGCTATGAAATCTAGTTAAGAGTTTGAAATCCAAAGATAACTTACCATGCGTTAATCTATAGCTCTTGTTGTAAGGATCTCTTGCCTTGCTTTTGATTAGTTTTTCATAGAAATCAGAGTTTATTGTATGACCTGAAGGAAGAATCACAGGATCTCTTAATTTGTCACAAGATAGAGGGCACTCGAAAGCGGAGTCAACCTTTGCAATAAAATCTCACAGAAGTTCTTTATAGTTTTTACTTGGAGCATATAGGAATTTATCAGATTTGATAGAATTGCTAGATTTTAGGATATCGTATCTTCTTTGACTATCTCTAGTCGTTTGTCACAAATTTTCTCAGTGAGATTGGTATCTATCAAGCTTTGCTTCTAAATAATATAACTTGTTTATAAGCTCTTTATGCTTGGCAGTCAAATTTTGAAGCCGTCTATAAGCAGAATCTGATTCTAATTGACTATTTCTAGTCTCAAGAGATTTTATATGAATTTTTAAGCTTCTGATAGTTTGCTCTTTATTGAAACTCCTATACACTCATATCTCCAACTTACACTCTCTTCAGCTCATTCTCTTTATTTCTAAAATCATCTTCAGCTTCTTCTAACTTTCTCTCCCAAGCATTGTCAATATTTCGCAATTGTGCTCATACCGCATTATACTTCCCCTCTAAATCTCGATGTCTATCATATAAGAAAGTTCTTAAAGTATCCTCTGATTTGTCTATATCTTCTTTTTACCTTTTTCCCTATTATTTTCCTAAATTTCATGGGTTAGATTTCTACAAATTTGAGTAAGAAATAACGAAGGCAGGTTGTGATAAGAACTGTGTTTACTTGTTTTGGAAATTGAGAAGGAGATATGAGGAGGAGAGTGTTACCCAACTTATCTTAGGTATTCAAATTAAAATGTCATACCTTTATTTCTTTGTTTGCATAAAGCTCTTCAATTTCTTCTTTTCGACTCAACAGGATTGGGTCGTGAGGCTTTCTTTGCTCCTCTTCTGTATGAGCATATGTTCATTTGTCGCTTTTATGTCATTCTTTCCCTTCTGTTATCCATTTACAAAGTGAAACTTTGTACATTCTTATTTCTGAATCTTTTGAAGGAATGAAGGTATCTTGTTGAACTTCGTAAGTATGACTGCCATGACTCATTGTAAAGCTTGGATCTTCTCCTCTGCAACTGTCTCTGAATCCTCTTTGACCTCCTCTTGTATTTCCTCTTGAGGCACCTCTGTATCCTCTTGGAGCTCCTCTTAACCCTCTGTAGGCTCCTCTCCCTCTATATTCTAGATTGGCTCTTGTTCTCTGATTAATCATTTTTTCTAAAAATCAATTAATTGATCCTACACTGGGGTTTTGGGGTTTTGGGGTTTTGGGGTTTTGGGG